TCCGAGTGCCTGAGGATCGCAAGTCCTTACCGGGTGCAACGCTCACCTCACTGGAGACGTAGACCCTGCTGCCTGCTAGGACTTCTAAGAGAAAGCCGGCTTGAAAGCCTTCGGGCAGAGCATGAAAACTAGAACTAGCACGTCGGGCTGCAGCAACAGCCCTGCTATGGCCTTATTTCTGATTGAGAGCAGTTCACTGGCCTCTCTGCCCTTCACCATCCTCATTTTTAAGCTGTCCGCAGTAACTTAGTAATTCACAGGCTGGTGTGAGAAGCAAGTAACAGTAGATGTGAAAGTGCTTTGTAAGCTATGAAGTGCTATGCAAAGATTATTATTCAAGCAGATCAGAGTACAGGGAAGTTGGTCCTTCGAACTCTGGGGGGGAAGAAGAGTGCTGCCTCTCTTTTTAGAGAGCTCGTTGAAACACTGGGCAAAAATCTTACTTTTCTTGAGATAATTTAAAATAGAGTGGAGTGTGAAAAAAAATAACAGTGCAGTATGCCTCTTCTACCTTGGGTTTAGACTTCCCTTCCACTTCGTTCCCTTGAAAAAGCCATCTTAGATACAATGGTCCAAGCCCACGCCATCCACACACAGGCTTCCCGGTTCTACCCTGGAGGGGTGTTACTTCTGAACTTTAGCACAGAGTGTTCTCCTCCAAGGAGCTCTTGGAATTGCCTTGGAACAGACATCCTCTACAAGTATTTGTTCATTTTTTCTTTCCCCTTTTCCAATGGAAGAAGAAAATTAACTTTTGGAGGGCTCCTCTGCTGGGTGCTAGGCATTTGACCTTTCACCTTCTTGACTCCCCTTGGTGATCCTGCCAGGTAGATATTATCAGTCTTCTTTCACAGACAAGGAGACCTAAGCCCAGACCAGTGAAGTCACTTGCCTACGGTAAGAGACCAATATTTTGCTGGCTTGCCAAAGTCAGTGCTTCTTTCAGCACCCTGTGCTCTCTCCTATCCAAAAAGCCTATTCTAATGTTTCTCCACATTTCCTCTCCAGAACAGCTCCATGTTTGTGCATAGGTGGGTAGCTGAGCTCTTTTTCACCGGAAAAGACAGAAAGAGTGGCTCTCTTACAGTTGGAAACAGCCTCCCCCCAAACTGCAGCCACTCTCAGGCACGGACTGATCCCTTTCTGTCCCCTCATAGCTTAATTGCAATGCTTTCCCAGTTTATTAGTTTCCAGATTCTGTGCCAAGGGCTTTAAGAGGCAGGTAGGGGAGAGTTCTCTGCTAGCCTGGCAGCCTTCCACACCCCCACCCCCAGATCTGTTGCTTGCTGTTTCAGAAAGGGATCAACATTGAAGGCATTTTTCTCAGCAGTGAAATGTACATATCACAACCTTGCTGACTGAAGCAGAAATGAGGGCTCCAGGGTCAGGAGGCTTGGGGTGGGGGTGGGGGGGGGGGGGTGGGGGTGGGGGGGTGGGACACAGCCTTTGTAGGGAGAGAGGGAGGGGCGAGAAGAGCTTATTTTATTACGCAGGAATAAAAACATTGTGAGTAATGAATAAAGTCCGAAAGCAGTAAATCTGGGACTCCAGAGTTAGGTGTGTAACGTGTCAGAAAACAATTTAAGCCTTCGCCTCTTCTGCAGAGGTGAGGTATGCGGGCTGTCATTCACAGCCCGAATTTCATTAAATGGTCTTTTAAGGGTTAGGATTACAAGAAGCCAAGTCCGGCTGGTTCATAATGATGATTTATGGCTGTGTTGTCGACTCCCCGACCCTTCTGTACAGGGGGATAGAGAAAATACATAATTTGTTGCTCATTAACTCCGAGATCTGTCAGGGCTGGCCCAGAAGCCATGTGGTCCTGGAGTCATGTGTCTGCTAAATGGTTTCAGCCTGGCCTGATCCTTGAAAGTATACAATTGTTACACTACAGTGGAAACTATTCTTAATGACAATAGCAATAATGAAATGATCTCAGTGTAGACTGCTGTGGATCTTGGAACTTGAGAGTCAGAATATCTCGGCTCTACTCTTAATCCTGCAGATAAATGAGTGTCTCACACAGACTCAGTATTGCCATCTGTAAAATGGACATGCCTTCTCCAAAGAGGGGCAGATTAAATGAAACTGTGAAGTGCAAAAGAAATGAGAGTGACTGCTGCCATGATTAACACTGTTGTTAGGAATTTGAGGTATACAATATTCTCTTTCTGCCCCCAAGATCAGAGAAAGCATTTTATTTTATTTTATTTTATTTTATTATTTTTTTTCTGGAGAAAACATTTTAATTAGCAGTTTTCTGTTTGCAAGACTGGGACACAGAAAACTGAGGTTTTATAATGAAGGGATATTAGAACCCAGAGGAATTTCGAGTTGTAATCAAACCCCTTCTCTCTAAGCTGACTGAAGCAGAAGGGTGACTCACCTGTGATTCATTAGGAAATCACGTAAGGGATGCTAATTTGCAGTGGAAACCCATGTGTTCTTTCTCAGCATCAAACAGGAAATCACGCTCAGGCCAAGTCCATTTAGAAACAGTTTCTTAATCTGTGACAGTGGTATGGTTCAAGGACCTCAGGAGCAATCCAAGGGCAGGGGTTGTGCGTGGGGCCTCGGTTCCACTCCTTGCCAGCAGTCATCTCCGAGGAAGTACTTTGCTTTCCTACTGCTTATTACTGTTGCTGGGTTGGGAGGCTAGTGGTGGAGGTGGCACAGGAGGGTTGAGAATAGATGTCATTGCAATTATAAGGTGATAAATCATGGAGTCTAGCACCCTCATTTTGCAAATGGAGAGCCTGACTTATTCCAAATTCACTCAGTGAGTTGAGACTTGAACACTGGCCCCTTGACTCCTAGTTTTGTGTTCTTCCCCCTGCATCTGAAGTCACACGAGCATGACATAAATGAAGAATAGGAAAGAGAGAACGTGGTGGCGGTAATAAACATCTGGAATGTGTTAGCCTGTAAGGTTACGTAGGGTAAAAGTGTAAACAGGTTCAAAAGGGGAATTAGACCATGAATGGTAGGAAAGAATGCTGGGTGGGGACTCAGAGCACCTGGGTCTAATCTGTAGATGTGAGTTAACTTGGATTCAGTTTTTTCTGTAAATAATGGACCCTTTCATTTCTGACTTGCTATGCTTCTCAGATTTTAATCTTTGCAACGTGTTATCAAAGGACTCTTGGTAATGTTGAGAGGATATTTCCAATTTTGCAATAAGGCAGTTGTGAGGACTACTGTCCGGCTCCCTTTCGTTCATTCAGCTGACAGTCTCGGAGCACCTCTGCGGGATCGGGTGTCGGTCCTGCTCACCCAGGGGGTGGCTGAGCCTAGATGCTGGGCAGGACTGGTCTTTTATGGTCTCCCTCTAACATAGGATCACACTCAGTGTGATTTGAGAAGCCAAAGTATAACACTTAGAACTAGCAAGCACTTTTAAGCTCAGAATCACTGCATGAATTTTAGCAGAGGAAGTAGCTGTTCTCACTATTGCACCTGTTGGCCCTGGGCCCAGCTGGCTCGGCCTGCCTTGTATGGCCATCCTATCCCCAGACTTTGGCACCCTTGAAGACTTGGATCAGACCCCATGCCTTGATGCCTTCCCTCACTGTGAAAAAATAACAGGAGACTTTGGGAAGGAGTGCCCCCATATATCGGTCTATTGCTTCCCTTGTGGTTGTGAACATGCTCTCTGCTCTCTGAAAGGGCAAGTGTGGCTCATCCCATCGCGTGAGGGAGCGTGAGAGGGTCTTTATGATGAGTGATGAGTTGAATATCACTCTCCCTAGACTGTGGTTGCAACAAGGAAGTGGCCAGGGCTGTGCTGTAGAGTTAAGACAAAGGCAGCAGACTGTGTGGTTTGGTGCATCACCAAAGCAGAATTGGTCCTCTCTTGAATAGGCAGCATAAGGAATCAGCTGACCCCACATTCTTAATATAAAACCAGGCAGCTTCAGTTGAACTTCCTCCCGTCTCTGAGCCTCAACTGTATCTATCATGGTTGTTGTGAGGATTTCACAAAATAAAGTATATGAAAGCAACGTCTGGTATGAATCAGTAATCAGTGGCTCTGGTTTTTGGTTTGTTTGTTTGTTTGTTTGTTAAAAAGTGATAAATGTCCCCTGAACATCAAGGAGGAGACACTGTGGGATGGAGGGTAAGGGTATGAAAATTAAGACTCACTTGCTGTCCTCCAGGATTGAAGCGACAATGCAGGCAGACTTGAGGAAATTCACGAACTCTGAAGGACATTGCAGTAAAAGTTCCCTGCTTTGTAAACCAGTATTCATTTCATCATACCATACTTCTAAAAAGGGAAATGGAAGAATAACTTCCTATGACCCAGTTCACTTATTACATTTAAGCCCACAATGCTGCAAAGGTGTAGAGCTTCCTTTCGTGGAGAAGGAAACTGAAGTTTGGAGAGGTTAGGTTATTGCTGAAGGACACCAGGTAGGTGGCAGAGTCTGGGTGCAAACCCAGGACTTGGTCTTGGGGTATTTGCTCTGTACTACAGAAACCCCCACCGTGGCTCAATGGTGGCACAAGGCTGAGGCCCTTCGTAGGGTTAGATTGTTGCTGGTGACCCTTTACCCTAAAGCCCAGAATCCTCACATTTGCTCAGATCCTCTGACATCCCAACCACCCTTAACTATCTTTGAGTCTTCACCTAATAGTATTTTATACAGCTAAGTTCTTATTTATCTTTTTCTTTTCTTAAGATATGTATATGTGTGTGTGTATATATATATATATATATAAAACAATATATTTAATTGTATGTTTTTCTTATTATAAAAGTACTGTATGGCCATGTAAGACTTTCCTGAAAAGGGGAGATAATGACTATGTTAGCACTTTGAGCTTTCCTCCTGTGCGTATTTATATCTTTACATGTCTTAAATAGGAAATTGGGGTTTCCTACATTATAACTTGCAGTTAATACTGAACATTCTCTTATGTTAGTAAGTGTCCTTTACAGCATCAGTTTTGATGATCTGTCTTGATACTGCCTAATTCCCCTATTGGTTTCCTTTTAGATCATCACAGGGGAGTTCTACCGGATCTATTACCTGAAGGAGAAGTCCCGGTCAACGATTCAGAATCCCTATGTGGCAGCCCTCTACAAGCAAGTGGGCTGCTTCCTCTTTGGCTGTGCCATTAGCCAGTCCTTCACAGACATTGCTAAAGTCTCCATAGGACGCCTGCGTCCTCATTTCTTGAGTGTCTGCAGCCCAGATTTCAGCCTGATCAACTGCTCTGAGGGCTATGTTCAAAATTACAAATGCAGAGGCGATGACAGCAAAGTCCAGGAAGCCAGGTAAGACACCATCTCTCATGACCGTGGGCACTCCTTTGCTGCAGGCAGTCCAGTGAGCATGTTCTAAGCACCTACTAGGGGCCAGGCCCAGTGCTGGGCTCTGGGTTTGATGGTTAAGTATGGCAGAGTTCTTGTTCTTGAGGAAATCACAGTCAAATGATTGGGGTAGATATATAAATAAACAATCATTACACAGCATTTGTAAGTCCATGCATTCATTCATTTGTTTATTCATGCATTCACGGTTGCCTGGGAGATTTCAGGCAATTTGTCTCAGGCTCCACAGAAGACATACAAACAAAAAAGATAGTGCTACTCTCAAGGTCACAGTCTAGAGAGGAAAGATAGGCAGACACACATAGATCAGGAATGTGAATATGGCCCCTTCATGGCCCTCTCTTGTTCTTGCAGGAAGTCCTTCTTCTCTGGCCACGCCTCCTTCTCCATGTATACGATGCTGTATTTGGTGGTAAGTACTGCCCCCTGATTCCAATGTCCAGCATCTAGTCCCAGCTTAAATCCCTTCTGTATATAAAACCCCCAAATTGGTTAGGGACAGATTTACTGTGAAATCCTTGAAAAAAAGAGATGAGCTAGAAAAGTTCTATTCTGAGCTCAGCCACTGCCTTAGCAGAAGTTGTTTTACTTGCTAGGATTTTCTCATTTGTCAAATAAAAATAACATATACCATAGCTGCTTGATAAGTATTGTGTACCCATTTTGAAATTACAAAGTGATAAAGACACTTGCATGACATTTTATGGTAATAACCATTGTTTTCTGCAAATCCATTAACTCAATTGCTGTTACAAGAACCTTATGTCATATGTAATATTGTTTCTGTTGTGGGAAAGGATTACCAATTAAGACTCAGAGACTTCAAATGAACTGCCAAAATTTACAGACACTAAAACTGTCACTCTAATCCAAGCCTTCTGGCCACATTCCTTGTAGTGTTTATACTACAGAGGAGGACTTTGGATCTTGCTGGTCCTCCTCTGTATTCTTCTTATGGAAGGGTTTGAAAACCCATCACCCAACTACATAGAGTTTCTGGTTTTACAAAATACTTGTGCATACATGGGCACATATGACCTCGTGATAAAACAGTGAAGTACAAGCAAGCTCCTTATCCCATTGCTGGTATCCAGAGAGGCTAAGTGGCATGTCGGAAGTCCTTCAGCTGGTTCTGGAGCCATGGTCTGAATCCCCATGCTGCCCTTCCCACGGCCGTGTCTGCTCTGACTCCCTGGAGATGTTGGGACAGTGCAGGTGAAGTCCCCGCTCCCCTCCAGCTGCTGCACAGACAGTGGCTGGTCTGTTCCTCTTGGTCAGTTAGTTAACCAGGGTGCCCCTGCCTTTCCCCTCCCCTGAGTGAGGCCCAGGTGCCAGGGCACCTCCTGCTTTTGGCAGCTTTGATAGAGCTCAGAGTGAGAAGTCCCTGAGAGGTCAGACAGAGCTCAGAGGAGCGTAAGCTGTTTTGATTTTGACTTACTTATTTGGGGGGAAAAGAAAACAACATAATTTGGAATTGGAGAAAATGTCAGGGTTTTTTTGTTCTGTTTTGTTTTTCCCCAGTCCTTTCCCAGTTTGGAGGGCTCTGGATACAGAGCTAAAAGTGGGCCCCCCATTTATAGAAACATTGAATGTGGATTTTATTTATTTGTGAATAGAACTTTCCTCCATTCTTCATTTTTGTTGTTGTTTTTGTTTTGCTCTTGGAAAGGATAATTTAGCAAAGATATTTAGTTTCCTGTTCCATTTTTACATTTCACCCTAGGCTGGAAATAATTTTACAGATGTAATTTCACTGTTTTGTAAAGGTGCTTAAAGGAGTAGATATATGTTCGTTTTTTCCAGATTTCTTCGTTTTCTTCCAAGAGGAAAACACTAAATCATTTCGAAACCAACCCTGTACTCTGTGCTCCACCTCTGCGAGAGGCACAGGTGCCGGCGGGCGCCTGGTGCCTGTGTGTGCCAGGCACTGCGTGGAGCTCACACTGTGATGTTCATTCTCCCAATAACCCAATGGAACGCATTGTGATTACCCTGCTTTCAGTTTAAAAGGAACCAACCAACTTTAAGAAGTGAAGCAGTAAAAGTTCTACATCTAGAAAGAGGCAGAAAGGGTACTGAAAGGCTAGTCTTTATGATCCTGGCATCATTTTATGGTCTTTCCATTGTATTACAAAACAAAACAAACCTCTGCAGGACAGACTTAAAGAATATAAGCCCTTGATGCTAATTTTAATTCCACGTGAAGGCAACCTGCCTTACTTCAGATCTGCTCTAATGGGGGAGATGCTCCCCTCGCCGCCCCACCTTCCCACTCCTCAGTCACCTCCTCACCAGCTGTGATTTCAGCAAGTCTCTGTCGGGGTAATGGGTGAGGAGTAGATTTTGATTGAATGTTTATTTGCATCTCTCTGCAGGAGGAAAAACTGTAGTGCTGTTATATTTCTGGAAGGAAGGGAAAGACGGAGGTGGGAGGGAGGAAGAATGGGAGAGGGGAAAGGGAGCGAGAGGGGAGAAGAGCCTCCTTAATCCTTCCTCTCCTAAGCATATTATTACACACACTCACTCTTGCAAACACCGCACACTCTCAGGAACCCTTGTGAACATACACACATTCAACCTTCACGACTCGCAGACACCCACACATACAACATACAAACGCAGGCTCTATTTTCAGATTGAAGGTTATCGTGCCTTTAAACAACCCCTGAAGCTAAGAGTCAAAAAGCAGGGGCCGTGCTCTTTGCCAGGATTGTTTTTAGATGATATTACACAGAAATCCCAGCCCTTTGAATGCCCAGTTTGCAAAACTTTCTAAAGCAAGTTTGAAGAACACCATTGCCGCCTGTCGGGGCCAGTGGGAAATCCTGCCATTGGTTAGTCAGAAAAGCCTTTAGACCCTCTCCCCAATGCTTTCACATTGGGCTTCAGGAAGTGCTGCAGTTGGGTGCTTTTGTTAGCACAGTCTGTGATGCCCAGCTTCCCTGGGGCCTTGGGGAGCATCACATTTGAACCAGCTGGCTGTAGCATTAACAGCTATTGCCTTTAGAGTCAGGCAGACCTGGATGCTTCTGGCCATGGCAGTGACTAGCTATGGAACCGTGAGTGGGTTACTTAGCTTTCAAGTCTCAGTGTACGCATTTGTGAAGTGGAGACCATCATTTCTATTTTACACAGTTATTGCCACTTTTCTTCTCAAGATTTTCCCCTTCTGTCAAATGAAAGAGTGGAATTAGATGGTGTCTATTTCTATCTAAATCTCAATGGGTCTCTTTGAAAGAAGTGTGAACTACCTAACTATTGACAGGAAGCCACCAGGGAACACTGAGGCCCACATCACCTCAGTGCAGTTCAAAGAGAGCTGCCTGCTGCAGGCGCTGCCTTCCCTGTTCCAGGCCTTCCAACGCCCGCTGCCATCTAGAGCTGCCCGTGGCTCTGAAGGGCATGCCATATTGGGCTTTGACTTGTAAAATGGTTGGCTTGGAAAAACCATGCCCCAAACACCAAATTATCTCTGGGCATGGAAGCTTAAAGGGAAGAAAAAACCTCAGAGACACAGACAACAGCATGGTGACTACCAGAGGGAAAGGGGAGTGTGGGGAGGTAGAAGCAGGCAAAGGAATAAATGGTGATGGGAGGAGACTTGACACGGGGTGGTAAACACACAATACAATATACAGATGATGATTGTACAACTGAAACGTTTTAATTTTATTAACCAGTGCCACTCCAATAAATCCCATAAAAATTAACAGAAAGAAAAGAAAAAGATCCATAGCTTATAAGCATAAGCAGCACTGTCTACCCCTGAGCCCTGGCTTAACCCCCAGAGGACCACTGCTGGGTTGGTCCTACACTTCCACAGTCAGGGACTAAAGGCGACTTGGCTGTCTGGCTAAATGCCAACACCCGAGCAGGCACCGATTCATGTAGCATACCTGGTATTTCCTCTGTTGTGCCAGGCAGTCTGTCACCTTCTGTGGCTGCTGAGATAAATCAGACCTGGGCCCTGCACTCCAGGGACTCACCTGTGAATCCCGCATTCAGCATCCAGCACGTATTTAGTGGGTGACTGTGACTGTTATGCGCCAAGCACTGTGCTGAGGGTGGGGATATGGAGATTAGTAAGGCCTGGGCACAGTCCTTGGAGAGTGCAGTTTAGAGAAGCAGGCCGACCATGACAACAGTCTGGTTCACTGGTGCGGGAGGGGCATGGGGATGTGCAGGTTACTGTGGAAGTTCAGAACTGTGGCAGCTAGCCTGAGGGCGGGGTGGCCGAAGTCATGGAAGGCTTCCAGTAGGGTGAAGGTGGGAGGCTTGGAAGGACTCCCTATGTGTAGGTGAGAAGGAGGATGGTGATTTGAGAACTGCAGGTATACGGTTCAGTAAGCATTGATGGCTGGTAGGAAGCAGGGAGTGGAGGGCGCTTTGAGAGCTGAAAAGAGCTGTGGGATCACAGGCCCAGCTCTTTCTTCTGCAGCTCAGGTCAGGGACAAGTTCCAGCGGAGGCCTTTTCCTTGGTCGTGCTGTGCTCTCTCAAGGATCCACACTTTGCCTCCTCACCTTCCTCAGTCAGAGCAGCCTTCCCTGGCCACCCTGTTTAAAATGACAGCTCCCTCACAGACACAAAGAGCACACGGGTGGCTGGCAGAGAAGAGAGGGTTTGGGGGACTGGGTAGAAGAGGTGAAGGGATTGAAAAGTATGAATTGGCAGTTACAAAATTGTCATGGGGATGTAAAGTACAGCATAGGAAATACAGTTAATATTGTGATGACTCTGTATGGTGCCAGATAGGTACTGGAAATATCAGGGTCGGGGGGACACTTTGTAAAGTATGTGATTGTCTAACCACTATGCTGTATACCTGAAACCAATACAAAATGATATTGAAAGTAAACTGTAATTGAAAAAAAATAAGAAAAATGACCACCCCCTCCTCCAGTACTCCCTAATTTCCTTTGAAGCCTTATTCTGCCCCCCAATTTCTCACCATCTGACATGCTATATATTCACTTCTTTGTTTATATCTGCCAGAGAAACTGTTAGCTTCTTTCCATTGCATTTAGAATTGTGTTTGTCTCCCCCTCGCTGGCTTGGTAGATCACGAGGGGCCTGCATGGTAGAAGCCACTAATGACCGTTTTTACTGTGGTGCCCGTGAGAACTGCTAATGTGTCAAAGGGTATGCTGAATACCAAGGAAATGGGGAAATGGCTGTACGCTGACAGCCGTGTTCTGTGGCCTGTGGTTGTTAGTCACGGAGGTTTGGTTCAACATGCTGAGAGTCCTGAAACAGTGGGGTCTGGTGCACCCGCGAGGCCTACTCACAGATCCTAGGAGTGTGTGCCAAGACTTTGCAGGAACAAGACTGTTGTTTGCGAGGGAATCCACCATGGTACCAGATGTTTGTTCTCTTCTTCCTCTCTATCCACTTATCCATCCATCTGTCCATCT